TTAGGATTGGGGTATACGGTAAAATATAGAGCTCTCTAGCTCTCTAAGGCCTTAGGATTGGAGTATAATATAGGGCTTGGAAGACTTTGGGATGCGTTGCCCATTTCCTGTAAAACGATGAATGGACCCGAGATTGGATGTTTGAATGCGAACAAGAACCCTTACAACCGGACAACCGGAACCCCGCACCTGGCCTGCTACCGGTGACTCTGTCTTCTCCCAAACAAACCGGCATCAGTATTGAATGAACTCCGCACGCTAATGGCTAATTCAACGGAGAACTCGTCGCCGGAAAGGCGTGCGGGTGCGGTGGTTGCATGAGTAGCTAGCTCTCTCTGAGTACACAGAACTCTATATGCCCGACAACTTAACCGGTATCTCGCTGGTATGGACGCTATAGCGGGCTAAACAAGAGGGTGCGTAACATCTAATTATGTATGTATGTATGTATGTATGTATGTACATATATAATTGTAGAGCCATCTAGCCCTAAACCATCCAATTAACAACTCAAGGCCCCCACTCCACGCAATGGCTCCAGCAGCCGAAAATGCTCGCCGCTGTCGCAAGCGAGGGAGTCTTCTTCCTCGACGGCTTTCTGTTTTTGAATATAAAAACTCCTTTTTCGGCTTAGGTTTGAGAAGCTTGTTGGGGGTTTTGGCCGTACAGTGGTTTAAGGGGTTAGCGCTTAGGGGTAGCTCTTGGATGCAAGGTTCAGGGTTAGGGTAGATGGAGGGGAGGAGGGCTACGAGGCTGAGGGGTTGAAGGCTTGGGGTTTCCGGACTGTGATCAACCCTGCACCTAAAACTGTCGACTTCAAATTCACTTCCGGAGCACGGCTCGACATTTCCATGGTTACATACATACATATGTACGTACACACCAACACAGACACACACACACACACACCTACATCGCAACTGCCTACATGCTACCTACATACCTACGAGCACATACACACAAAATGCGGTTGTGTGTATGCATGCATGTACGTACATACGTACGTACATAGTATGTATGTATGTATGTATGTATGTATGTATGTATGTATGTATGTATGTACGTAGTTGTGTATGTATGTAAATGCGCATGTGTGTATAAATATAAAGCAGTATAAACAAATAAATAAACATGTACATATATATATATATAAATATATATGCATATGTGTATATATATATTCACATCTATATATATATATACAGATGTGAATATATGTATACATATATATATACACATACATACATACATACATACATCTATATTTTTGTATATATGGTACCCCCCCCTCCCCCAAAGATCCAGCATTTTGGGTAGATATTTCGATGGGGAGGGTATCAGACGACTGTTGTAGAGGCAGTCGACCGATTGAAACCGATTGAAGCGATTGAATTTCAATCGGGCCCTGGATTCAAGATTCAAGATTCTCAGAAAACTTGTCCTGAAATCTTGAATCTTGGATCCAGGGCTCGCTTGAAATTCAATCGCTTCAACCGGTTTCAGTCGGGATTTGAGAAAGCTGTTCCAGAAATCCTGAATCTTGAATCCAGGGCTCCTTGAAATTCAATCGCTTCAATCGGTTTTCATCGGGCTCACAGTTTCTCTGAGCTCTTGTAAAGCCTCAAAACGTAACTTCGGCACCCCCCTTCCCAGTGTCTCTCTCTATATCTCTCAATCTCTATCTATATACAAATACAAATACCTATATATGTATATATATGTATGTATGTATGTATGTATGTATGTATGTATGTATGTATGTGTGTATATATATATATACACACACGTTGTTATGTGTGACCCCGGTTCGGTCGGAACCCATCTGCTTTACGCCGATGAGAATACGTGGTGAACGGTCGCATGTGCTGGGGAAGGCGGGCGAAGAAGCCTAACCGACAAGGACGAACTGCTTCACCCGGCCGCGATCTTCCCAACTCTCAGGTTGCTTTTTCCTTGCTTGGGAGACTCGGACCACCAAACCTGGGGAACCGCAAGCCACAAACACACTCTGGCGCTTAGACCTCAAGCCGTCTGAGCCCGGTGCTGCTCTAGGTAACCAGGAGCCTGGTACAGCTGCAGAGGTTTCGGACTTCATAGGCTCAGCTGGCTTAGAGCCCCGTCGCCGTAAATGTCATGTGGGTTTAGACTTAAGCCTTTCAGGTTTCGGCTTGAGGATGTTCCGTTCCCATTTATGCATTGCTCTTTTTTTGGGGCGTTTAGGGTTGGGGGGTTCAGCTTCCAGGCTGCAAGACTCAAGACCTTTTGATTCAGAAGAACTTGAAACTCAGAAACAGGAATGTAACTCGGCTTGGGTTCAGCATTTTCATGATTCAGTCAGGCCGATGGCAATATCCCCATGCCCAAATCCTCTCAGAGAGGCCAGATCCGGTTCGCTCTGATCCGGTTCGCTGCCCCAAGTGAGTCCCGAAATTCCACGTGCAAGCCCTAAGCTAAACCTCAACCCGAAATCCCCAACCCTAAATCCCACAACCCAAACCCGAGTCCCAACCTGAATCCGTAAATCCCCGAAGCGCAAACCCAAAATCTTGAAACTTTAGATCCTGAACACAGCCACTAAATATATCATCCCATGAGCTCCCTAATCCGGTAGCCCTTGACCCGAAAGCCGCCTGACAGAGCCAGGATGCCAAGGAGACCGGTGCTCCTACGACAAGGGTTCTTTTTTAATCTATAATATAATATATAATGTGATATAATATAAGATACTAAGAAGTATATAAATATTTAAATAGGGTTAAGATTGAAGCTTAGGGTTGTTATTGCCGTAATGGCCTTAGGTAACTGCTTGCGTCGGGCGTTGGGGTATATACTCTGCGATAGCTGAAAAAAGAACGGACTCGAAAGAAATAGTTCAGGCTTCGACAGTCTTGGGAGGCTTTTGAGGCGAGGTTTATGTAGGGGCCGTCATAGTTAGAACAGGGTTGGGGGGTCCATTATACCATAACTAGAATCTAGAATAAGGAAACCCCAAAATAGTATAGGAAATCATTGAGGCCCCTATAGTATTGCAGAAAGTGGGCTCATTAGATCTTCAATACGGCCTAAGCAAAGCTACAATTGGAGTCACAATCCGAACCATGACCGCCCAGACTCGACCGGTGAGGCAGAGACTCACCACGAGAGCACTTCTACCAAAAATGACCATGGTCAACAGCCAACAGCTGTAAAGAAATGGTAGTACACCAACTAGGCCAATTACAATGAGACTAGTTACAACAAGAGCATAAAGCACATTCTGGCTTCTTTTCCCGCCGGCTTGCGACACCCTCGCAGAGAAGCCGGTCTGCCTTCGATGCTCCACCGCGAAAGGCTCCGTTTAGAGCCCGAGCCTGGATCCTCACAAGAAACAAGCCGATCTGCTGGCAGCTACTGGGCTCACTTCCCGCGAGAGGCAGGTGGGGAGCGAGCCAAAGCTGCTGGATCTTAGGCTCCACGAGAATCCAAGGAGTCCCACAGAGAATCAGAGTCCGACTCAGCCGAGGGAAAACTGAAGGGGGCCCTAGACTGGGCTAGACTAATGACTACAGTAGACCGTGCCATATATATATGTATATATATATATGTATATATATATATATCATATATCATATAACCAATCCCTCCCCTGGGCTCCTTTCTGCACCGACTCTTAACCGGTCCCCCTTAGTTTCCCTATCGAGCTGCCGGACCCTCCCACTAGGGACTTACACCCCTCCGAAGCTCTGAACCTCTAACCTGGCTAAACCCTAAACCGAAGCCCTAAACCCTAAAGCCCCAAATAAACCCTAAACCCTAAACCCCTAAACCCCTAATCTCTAAAGCCCAAAATTTGTGAAAACTACCGAAACTCCAAAGTCTGTGGCTGCAGATGCCCGGCGAGCAGTCTCTAGCGAGGCCAGCATACCAAGGCTCATTCATCCTCGCTGTCCTTGGGGCAGTATCTTGGGGTTAAGCGTTTAGGGGCATAGTTGTCTGTTATGCTTAGCTTGCTTTTTAGTTTTGCCGTTGCTATTTCTGTTGTTGTCCCTATCGATACTCGTCTTTGTCTACTGGCCGCGCCGCGCTCGCACAGTTTTTTCTGCCCCGAAGCCTCAACTTATTGCATGCCGAGTACCTAAACTGACCTAAACGCTTTGCTGGGCACTCTCTCTGGGCCTCGCGCTGAGCAGCTGGACTCCTCTGTAATCCAAAGGCGCGACCATACCTTAGGCTTGAGGCTTTGGGGTGCCAACTTGGTGATTGTTGCCTTCGGATCTCAGAGCCGGGTATGGGGTTCGGTGTTGCGGGTTGGAGGGCGCAACAAATCTCGGATTTGATTCAGCACGTCAGGTGTTTTGGGGTTTTGTTTAATTTACAGCATTCAGGTTTGAGTGGCTTTCGGTTTCGGGCTTTACGGTGTTACGTAGTGCTAAGGGCTCGGAGGAGCCGCGCCCAAAAGTACCTCCATCCGAAGCCCAATCCACAAACATCGGGCAGGATGCTTGCTGCGCCACGCTGACCAGGAAAAATCCCAGAAGGACCTGAAACATGGGGGCTGATTAGAACAGGGCTTTGGGGTACTGAGCTTGCCGGAGCTCTAATCTCGCCATCCCCCCCAAAAAAGCCGTGCAGGGCTGGCTGGGTTAGAGCTCCGGGCTTCAAGGTTTACCAAGTTTACCCTGAACCCTGAATCATCCCTAAACCCAACCCTCAATCCTGAACCGTAAGTTTGCGTGATCTGACAGGATCCCAGAGCCTTTGCTCGCAAAGCCTAGACCTCTTGAGGGAGGCCTGCACCCTGTGAAAACTTGGGCACTTGTTGGGGTTTCCAAAAGGTCGAGGTATGTGATTTTGGGATCTTATCTTAGGGTCTCTTGCTGTCGGGACCCGCACATGTGCTAAACCTTGCTGAATGAACTTCCAGCCAGTGCGGATGCATCCGCTGAGCAGTTCTAGCAACAGAAATAGGAGGAATGTGCTCAAAGAATCTGCAGTTTCAACCGATACCAAAGTCGGAACGGTCACTGCAATTTGCCCGCTGCACTAAAGCGGTAGAGGGAGCAATTATCAGAAGCCGTGGTACTGGAATGGGTGTGGGGCTTCAGGCTTGGTTTGCCCAGGCACGAGCAGGGAGCCACAGATGTACTGGGCGTCAAACTCCTCGCGCCGACTTGGCAGTTTAAGGACTGTTGACAAACAAGTTCAGTAAGACCAAAATGCAAACCAGACGGGTTAACCAAAGCGCCCCTCAACTTTGGTCCGAAATTTTGAAACTGAGAGCTGCGACCCTCAACCCCCGAACCTTGCACCCCAACGAAAACTCCAAACCCCCGCACTTCCGCGCCCCGACGATCCCCGTCCTTCCCGCGGAGCAGCACATCTGAGATCATGCCGAAGGGCACGGTGAGGGACAGTCCCAGCGTGGCCTGAGACCACCACGAGGGGCTGGGCGAGCAGGAAGCTTTGGGGGTGGAGCCCAAGATCGACGCCTGAAAGCCTCGAAGCCCAGGTGATCGGTTCAGGGCTGGGGGTGCCCACTGAATGAATGACAGGGCGCCGTCAAGGGTGTCGTGAGCTGCACCGCGTACGCCCAGAGCACATCGCTGAGATTGGTGCCAATCAGTGCCTCGTCCCATGAGTTTCTGGACTGCCACTAATCATGCCACCACCACCACCACCACCACCGCCACCACCACCACGACCACCATCCAAACCATCACCACGACAATGACGAACAGATGCAAAACACCCAGCACAAGCATGCATGTCATCAGAATCAGCAGCAAGCACACCATCACTGCCATTCTTCAGAACTAGCTGGTGTCGACTTGCGACTGCGATTGTGGTCGTCGCCACCCGTATCTTCAGCAGGAAAGGGTTCCCAGTTCCCAGTATCGCCTCCTTTGGGATATAAAACAGCCACAATGTGCTTGGGGACTTCGACATAACAATCTAACTCGGCAGTCATTAAATGAGGTAGCTGAGGCTTTCTAGGACACATGCAAATTTCAGCCTGACGACCATGACTGCTCCTGAATCCTGACATTCCGGGCCGTCATAGGTGACAGAGGGTGTTGAGGCAAAACTTATACCATACCCCCACAAGCAATGATACTATTAATTACTACACATGCTTCAGTCCTCTACCGTATACTTCACCGGGTTGAATGCCCTAAGGTCGGCCCAGTGGCATTCACCACCAGGGATCCCCATACCGGGCGCGAGGGCAACGCAAACGCCTACGTGCCCCCGAAAGGGCCGCAGCTCCGGGCTTAACGGCGATCAGTCTTCAGGGCATTGCAGGGTGTCTTTATGGTTTTCTGTTGGGTTTTGGGGTGTAGATTTTCCAATTCTTCTTTTGGAGGGGGGTTGCGGGAGTAAGGGAGCGAACGAGAGGTTTCAAGGGTTTCGGGGATTTGAGGGCTTTGGGAGTTGGATGCAGAGGTTTTGGGATTTCAGGTCCAAGGGTTCAGGCCGGAAGGATCTGGGCTCGAGGGGATGTGGATCCGAGATCCAAAGCTTGCGATTTCGGGGTGGCAATTCTTCCAAGAACCTTCTGCTTCCGAGGGCAGATGCTGCCGGATGCTCTGGCCGATGGTAGTCAAGGACAAACAATGGCTACTGTAGCTACTGACGACTGAGGCAGCAAGAACTGCTAGATGTTACAACTGATGCAGGCTGGAGCATCTCTGGGCAAAGGAAGCTGCAACAAGAAGACCCTAAAACATCATGACTCACATGGAGATTCCGATGATGGTGGCATTGACAGTCAGCAACGGGAAGACTGGTATGTTGTCGGCACAGAGGAAGATTGCAAAACAATTATGTTTGTCAATCCGGATGGCCACTGTGCAGTTCACTAACACGCGTCGATGTTTGTACTTCTTGCCAGCACCGTCCTGAAATGAATGAATTACTTGCCAGTACTATCCTGGACATGAATGACTGCTGGTGTCGCCGTTGTCGTCGTCCTCGTGGTTGCGCCGTCAGCGTCTTGGTCGTTGCCGATCCAGTTATTATCGTGATCTCCGTCGCGCCATCATTGTCATGTTCGTCCTCCACGCCACGCGTTGCTGATGTTGTTGCTGCTGTTGCTTCTGCTCTTGCTGTTGGTGGTCTGGCTGTTGCTGCAACTGTCGGCCTGTCAGCCTTTGTCGGTCGCGAGGGCAACCAGCATCCCTGCAGCATCATTACCGTCAAGATTGGCATCACTGCCCGCACTTGTTACTGTTGCGCCGCGAACTGCACTGTCCTTTTGCTAGGTCTTTCTTCGTTTGCCTACAATGCCGCAGCACGGAGCCGTCGGCCTCTGGACAGCCTGCCACTCAGGACAGAGCAAACCCTCACACGACGTTGAGGCTGCTCGCAATTGTGGGCCGGTGTGGTCACCCTACAATCTTAATCTTAAGTGATGTGCTACGGTCGGAATGAAAAGACGCAATATTGGTGCTAGGCTGTAATTCAACTCCCACGGCACCAAGAGGCCTCCCACCCCAGCAGGTGCAGAAGTACCATGATTGGCCAGCCACCCAGCATGACAAACAGCCCGATGAAGCCAAACCTGACAGAGAAACACTTGGAAGCACCGAGGAGCCTAGACCTCAGGACACCGAGCACTTCTGCAGCAATTCGGAAGGCTCAGGGAACTTGCTCCGGGGAAGAGGCAGGTGGGGCTGCCCGGGGCTGCGCTTGGTGCTCTGTCGATCTAGATTTGATTGGAGGATACCGAGAGCTTATATATGACAACAGGATCGTCTCACTGCATGAAGCTCGCGATGCCGGTCCTCACTGTGAGGTCTATAGAGCTCTGCCTGCTAATGGTGCTCCTGGTGATGCGATGCGACCTTTGAAGCCTGCCTTGCATACTTCTGAACTGTTTTCTCACGAACCCGATCAAGCCCGGCGGTGCTATGTTTTTGTCTCGTTCAGTGGGCCAGGATACAGAGTTGGCATGGCCAGCGCTTCCTCCTTTTCGGGGACGTAGTGCCTCCCGCCGAGCCCATAGGTTTTTCTGGTTTGGCATGCTCAGTGAAAGGGAAGCGCAAGGCCCCCAACAATATCTTGGCACAATGCATGATCCAAAGTCAGTTTCCCAAATTAGTTCACCACCTGGCCCGAGAAGGACTATTACTGCCGGATTCTGGACTTCTGCATGGAGGACTGAACGAATAAATGAATGAATGAAGGAAGGAAGGAAGGAATCGACAATCATCCCTGTGAGCAGCCATGAATCTTCCTATCGGTTTCGGAAGTACAGATCAAGCCGAAGGATGCCCAGATGCTCGTATGCCATGAAGAGGTTGAAGAAACAAACTGATCGAGTTGTCGAAAGCATCCAAAAAAACATCGGAAACCAGCCCTCCCTGTGGCAGGCAGCCCTACCAGAAACGAGCCAGTGACCAGCTAGAAAATCGTTCCCAAACGTCATCTGCATACTCGCAGCAATGTTCGACGATTCTCCGCTGATGTCGCAACTTGATCTGAATTGCCTAGATTTGCAGTTTGTTTGAGGCAGCGCCCGCGCAGTCTTACCATTGCAAAGGAGCTGTGTTGAGGGCATCGACGCCCTGAAGAATTAATCTGCCACAACAAGAAATTATAGAAACGAGCAGAATGGCGAAAGCAAAGTGCGTGCGAGTTCTCCAGAGATCGGGTCCTAGATCGAAAAGCCCAAGTTTTGTGATCCCCACTTGGAGCGTGGCTTCAGCATGACGGTGTAAGCCCCATACCTTGGCAGTGCGATGAACCCTTTGACTGTTTAAGGCCCTATGGACAAAGAACCGTTATTCTTCCGAGACGCACGATACTGTTGAACTTCTGCGTCGGTGTGTTGACACTGCAACACTCTGTAGCAACCCGACCCGAGCACCCACAAGCTGGAGAGAGTGTCCTTCAAATACTCGCCTCTCTGGCTTGCAATGTCAGGAGCTTGTTGCATTTCATTGCTTACATGACATTACATTGCATTGCTTCGGGGTGAGTGTGCTTGGGGCTTCCCGGCCCGAAACGGAGCTAGCGTTGCTGTGCATGCCACGATCGGTGCTGCACTGTGGATAGGTCACGACCAAAACCTCTTCAACTGCCGAAGGACAGCCCCCAGGGCGCAAACTCCGAGCCCCATTAAACCCAAACTCTGATCATAGTTATGCTATACTAGATGATCCTACTATGCTATGCTATACTATACTCTGAACACCACTGCCCTGAAATGGCTCAATCGCCGGCCCGGTAGCACGAAAGCAGAGGTCAACGCCAGGCTGTCTCCTGCTAAGTCAGACTTTGGGCTTGTTACCTTTAGGTTTCGGGTTTAGGGTTTCGGGTCTTGGGTTTAGTTAGGGTTTCGGTTTTAGGGTTTTTTAGTCTGGGTTTCGGGTTTAGGGTTTTCGGGGGTGAGGGTTTAGGCTCAGGAGTTCTTGGTTTTAGTCTGGCGGCTGTGGGCCCAGGGATTCGGATTTTGGCATTCGTAGGTGGTTCCTCGGTTTCCGGACTTCAGGATGGGTTCTTTTCCGATCTCAGAGACAGGCGGTTGGGCTTTCGTGTTGCAGGTGCATTCGGGGACAAGCTTCTGTGAGCTAAATCGGCCAGGGCGCAGCAGCTTCTGAAGACCGAAGCCACAAAACATGATACCCTAAAGCTGATACGTTCCAAAGACATAGACGTATGCTGACATTGCAAATGTCAGTCGTTAGACCGTCAGGCACTCACGGCTACAGAGCCCCCTGCTGGGGCCCAACAAAGCCCAAAGCGACCAAATCCCTAACACCCATAAGCTTGAAAACCCATAGTCCCTAAACACTATAATCCTAGACCACCCAATCCCTATAAGCCCTCAAATCAAACCCCGCACCCCCAAACCCCTGAAGCCCTGAACCCTAAACCCTAACCTCTCAAACCCGAACCCTAAAGCCTCTAAGCCCTATATACGCCCCAACTCCCCAACCCTAAGCCCATGAAAGCTTGTGCCTATACACCCTAAACCCTAAACTCTAAACCTAAACCCTAAACTCTAAACCCTAAACCCCAAAACCCCAAACTCTAAACCCCAAAACCCCCAAACTCTAAACCCTCAACCCCAAACCCGCCTAGGTAGGTGTTGTTGTCGTCGCCACTCGACTCAGAGGCCTTCCCCAAGACTGACTGGTTCTTAGTAAGGAAATGGGGGCTGACAGGATCTACAGTAGGGTTTAGGGTTTAGGGGTTTAGGATATAGGGTTTTTTTTTTGAGCTCCTTTTTCCGTCTGCCAATCCAGTCAGAAGGCCCAGGGGCCAGGAGTAGGATTTAGGGTTTAGGGTTTAGGGGTTTAGGGGCTTTAGGGGTGTAGGGATGTTCTTAGTAAGGAATGGGGGAATGGGTCATTGGGACTACTATAGGGGACCTTAAGGGACTATCATAGAGATCCATTCCCCCATTCCCTACTAAGAACCAGGGAGAAGAGGACTGGAGAGCGGACTCTTGGCTCTCTTGGGTCAAACTCGAGCCTCCGGCTCTGGGGTCAGAAACTTTAGGCCTTCAAAGTGAGGCTTTAGTAGGGGTTTAGGGGCTTTAGGCGCTTTGGGGGTTTGGAGGCTTGTGTGTTGGGTTTTGGCGTAGGTTTCGTTTGGTCGGGCTTTCAGACTGGCATTGCGAAGCTTTGGTCAAGGGAAGAGTCTCGCCCCGCTAACACCCAAACCATAAAACCCTAACCGTATACCGTGGGAGCCCTAAATCCTAAACCCAAAGCCCTGAACACTGAACACTAAAACCCCAAACCCTAAACCCTAACAATATACCGTAGGCGCCCTCCCACCTTTGCGTCGGAGGTCGCTACCAGCGCGGAGCCTCCGCAATGCAGGGCTCTGAGACTTCGCCGTGTAACTGTAAGACGATCAGGATCCCCACATCAAGGATGCAGTCTATTGTGCGGAAGACTTTGTCAAGATTCCCGGGGCCGGATCACACAAGAAGACACTTATACTCTTCGGTTCTAGCTGGTCGACAACAACATCGGTTTAGGATTTAGGGTTTGTCCCAGAGTTGCTGGGTTGCCCGAAAACCACATGATCTGCAACAGAAGAAGATGGTTGGCAAAGCTTGACCGACTCCATTGCAAGAACAACGTGCATCTGCTTACATACTTGTACATGGTTCCACCATGACCTGCGTGGTTATATTTCCTACATAATTTAGACATAAAACCACCATCCATGCGCAGGTATGTATGCATGTCGCTCTGAAAGTGGCATAGAGCTGCTTGGCTAA